GTGCCCTGTGAAGTTCGTCGTTCTACAAGACTGTTCCAGAGACGTTATTCTCGGCATGGACTTTCTGTGTGAATACGGCGCCGTCATCGACCTTGGTGAGAACAGATTGACGCTGCGCAAGCCTGTTCCGTCTTCAGAGAAGCCTCGAACAGCGTCAGCCGCCGTCCGGCAGCGACTGACCGCAGGTTCACGCGGTCATTCGCTGCCGACCACGTGAACCTGCCGCCGCGATCAAGTGTTGTCGTACCCGTGGTGGCCGATGCAGCTACCTGCGGCGAAGTTTTTCTTGAAGGCAACCTTCAATTACTCCTAGGAAGAGGAATAGGCGTCGCAAGAGGAGTGGCTGAACTTCAGGATGGGCGCACCGTGGTCTTCGTGACGAACTATCGACAAGAAGCGCAACACCTCACGAAGGGTGCCGCTATAGGCCACGTCGAAGAAATTCGGAACTCCGCCGAAATCGCCGCGATTGCTGAAGAATCATTCCCGCCTCAGCAACACATTACACCGCCAGCGCAGCTCGACATTGACCCCAAGCTTCCAGGCCCGATACGACGGCAGCTAAGTAAACTCCTCGCCGAATACAGTGACTGCTTCGCGACGTCGTCGAGGGTGCGCCAAACCGCCGTTGCGAAACATAGCATCATTACCGAGGACGACGCGCGCCCTGTGCATCGATCGCCATACAGAGTCTCCGTTAAAGAAAGGGAGGTGATCCAGGAGCAAGTGCAAGAGATGCTGAAAGACGACATAATCCAACCTTCAAGCAGTCCGTGGGCCTCTCCAGTTGTACTGGTTAAGAAGAAGGACGGAACGCTTAGGTTCTGCGTGGACTACCGGCAGCTGAACGTAGTGACGAAGAAAGACGTCTATCCACTCCCCCGCATCGACGACGCGTTAGACCGGCTGCGCCACTCCCGATACTTTTCATCCATGGACCTGAAGAGCGGCTACTGGCAGATCGAAGTCGACGAACGGGTCCGAGAAAAGACAGCTTTCGTCACGCCAGATGGGCTGTACGAGTTCAAGGTGATGCCCTTCGGACTGTGCACGGCTCCAGCAACTTTCCAGCGTGTCATGAAAACCGTACTGGCAGGACTGGAGTGGCAGAGCTGTCTCGTCTACATCGATGACGTCGTAGTGTTTTCCAGCGACTTCGACGAGCACTTGCGACGACTCCGAGCAGTTCTCCAAGCCATACGGACCGCCGGACTCACCCTGAAGCCAAGCCGTCAAAGTGTCGGTTCGCCTATGACGAATTGAAGTTCCTAGGTCACGTGATTAGTAACGAAGGCGTTCGCCCCGACCCAGAGAAAACTCGCGCCGTCGCATCATTTCCAGCACCGACAGACAAGAAGGCCGTGCGAAGGTTTCTTCGACTATGTGCCTACTATCGGCGCTTCATCCGGGATTTTGCAAGGATTTCCGCACCGCTCACAAACCTCACAAAGGACGCCGAGAAGTTCGAATGGGCCGAGGAGCAGCAGCAGGCATTCGACGAGCTGAAGCTACGACTGCAGACTCCTCTTGTTCTAGGACATTTCGACCAAGATGCGGAAACCGAGATTGACACGGACGCAAGTAACGCTGGACCTGGTGCGGTACTGGTTCAAGTGCAAGAAGGCATCGAGCGAGTTATCGCCTACGCAAGTCGGACACTGTCCAAGGCGGAGAAAATTACTCCATGACTGAGAAAGAATGCATTGCGGTCGTCTGGGCAATCACGAAGTTTCGTCCGTATTTGTACGGGAGCCCGTTCCGTGTAGTCACGGACCACCACTCGCTCTGCTGGCTTGCGAACCTCAAGGACCCGTCAGGACGCCTCGCTCGATGGAGTCTACGACTACAAGAGTTCAATATGGCTGTGGTCTACAAGTCAGGCCGCAAGCACAGCGACGCCGACTGCCTGTCCAGAGCCCCCGTCGAAACACCTTCAGGCAGCAACAACGACGATGACGACGAGTGCTTCCTAGCTGCAGTGAACACCGACGACATAGCACGACGTCAAAGAGACGATCCTGAGTTGCGCGCGTTAATCGAGCACCTCGAAGCACGAGGGGCTACTGTCCCCCATGTCTTCTCGAGAGTCCTGACGACTTTCGTCCTCCAACAACGTGTACTTTACAACAAGAACTCCGGAGAAAACAGCACACCATGGCTGCTGGTAATCCCTACCGACCTTAGAGCGGAGATCTTCCAAGCCTGCCACGACGACCCGACGTCCGGACATCTTGGTTACAGCCGTACGCTGGCCCGAATTCGTGAAAGGTATTACTGGCCCAAGCTGCCGAAGACCGTTCACTTCTACACACGGTCCTGCCACGAGAGCCAGCGACGCAAGAAACCGCCGACGAAGCCGGCAGGTCTCCTGCATCGGATCGCTCCCCCGACCGTAACGTTCCAGCAGATCGGAATGGATCTACTTGGTCCTTTCCCACCATCGACGCAAGGAAACAGATGGAGTATTGTCGCCACAGATTATCTCACACGGTACGCCGAAACGAAAGCCTTCCTGCAGGAATTGCTGTGGAAGTCGCCATGTTCTTTATCGAGTCCATCGTCCCCCGGCACGGTGCTCCCGAAGTTTTGATCTCAGACCGTGGATCATCGTTCATGGCCCAGCTGACGCAAAAAATCCTTCGTCTCAGCCACACCAGCCATCGGCGCACAACGGCGTACCACCCGCAGACCAATGGGCTGACGGAGAGACTCAACAAGACCATCGCCGACATGATCTCCATGTACGTCGACGTGGAGCACAAGACATGGGACGAGGTGTTGCCGTACGTCACATTTGCCTACAACACGGCCGTGCAAGAGACCACCGGGGTGACACCCTTACAACTGGTTCATGAACGTAAAGTAACGACAATGCTGGACGCGATGTTACCCCACGAACCGGCTGTCGACGGAAGCGACGACGCCCAGGTGGTTGCCCAACGAGCAGAAGAAGTCCGCCAGCTCGCCAGACACCGTATTCAAGCCCAACAACGTGTAGACACTGGCCGCTACAACCTTCGTCGTCGGGACGTCTACTTCAAACCCGGAGACAGGGTGTGGGTGTGGACACCGATCTGCCGCCGTGGTCTCAGTGAGAAACTCCTAAAGTGCTACTTCGAGCCCTACAAAGTACTTCGTCGACTCAGGGATCTGAACTACGAGGTGATGCCCGACGGAACACGGACTTCATCACGCCGCGCTCCGCGACCGGAAGTCGTCCACGTCGTGCGCCTCAAGCCGTACTACGCGCGATAAGACTGCGACCTGTGATCTTGTGCACCGCCTGATAGGATTGTGTTTCGCGAACCTCCGTATGTTCCCATTTTTTTGTTTTTTCGCTCTGTTTTGTTGCCCTTCTACGTGGCATCGAGAAGATGCCTTTTTAATGGGGGGGAGTAATGCCACGCTCGTCGGCGAGCGACCGCGTGCGTGGCCGAGTGGTTACCGTGCTTGACTGTCGCGCGAAAAGTCTGGGTTCGATTCCAGTCAGTGGAATGCTCTTTTATTCGTTCTTTCGACATTGCGTTCTAGTGTGTTCGAGAACATTCTCGTATGATCGAGTTCCAAATGTTCCAATCACCGAACAATCTAGGCCGATTGTTCCAGAACCTAACGCGCGTACATAAGAGACTCCGCGTGCTGATCTGCAGTCAGTCTTGCCCCAGCGTTCGACTCTGCTGTTACGCAGACTTCGACGCCCGCGACGCACTGTTATTATCTTCTGTACCCTTTAATTTTTGGCACAAGTTCGCCACAATAAACGTTTATTTCTTCCTGTTTATTTATTGGTTTTTGGTTACCACCCGTGACAATATATTTAAAAATTAAAATTGCGCGAAGTACAACGGACCAGATGAAGCAAGACACAGTGCTGCCAACCATGTGATACAAACAAGGCCAAGCTTCAACTTTAGCAACGTTCATTTCTAATACAATAGGCCCGTTTAATTGCTTCACTGTTCAGCCTTGCTGCATCGTCGTCATCTATGCCATCGTCGTTTGCCACGCACAAAGCAGCGCTGTGTCAGTCTTTCTTCACCTTGTCCCACACCCTTTATTTTCAGATGCACCGAACATGCTACGCGAAGCCAACTAACATTTGAATCGTCTTCAGTTACCGCTGGCCTTAGGTGTGTGTCTGTGTGTGTGGGGGGGGGGGGGGGGTTCGGTGGCTTACGATAGCTCGGAGCACGTATAGCGAAAGCTCACGCTGCAAAAACCAGGGATTCTGGACTCCATCCCCATACCTGCACGCTTACGCCGGTGGGCTCGCCAAACAATCGGTGTAGTACCCAAACAATGAAGAGTCCCGGTTCCCTCTGTCTCACTTGTCCGTACACGTTGCGCACCACTTGCTTGGGTTGTTTGACAACTTTTGGTTGCCAAACTTCGTGGAAATCATTCGAAGCAAGCAAAGGGGCGACGCTACAGATGGTGCCGGCGATACATCGTACCCGCGATACCCGTCGATGCACACGAAAAAGACGTCATGTTTGATTTGCAGGGAACTAGAAAACCCGCGGCAAACTTAATTCAAAGAACCCTAATGAGCTAAAAAATAAGCAGCAGACGTTTAGAACATCCTGCCTAATATTATAGTAACTTCGTGAAATTAAAGCTCAACGGAACAATTTTATATTTTAATTAGTCAAGACACACCCAGCAAAAAATTTTCGTGTAACTATATTCAGCTGCTCATGCAACTATATTCAGCTGTTAGAACACTGCCTGGGTCTAGTCAAGCGTTATGCTGCTTCAATATACGTTCATGGCGTAATTGGTTTAACATCTCAAAAGCTAGTAGCGCAAAGCACAAGTAGAATGAAGTAAAAACTGGAAGGACAAGCGCTTGTCCAGTATTCTGCTTATCCCGGCCTTTTGCGCTGTTATTATGCTGCTTCGATTGTCTGTCACACAAAGACTGATGCTTCACGGGCTTGCAAAGAAGTAGATATATGAAGATTTTGAGAAAAAAATAAAAAGTAAAAGACGGTAATTACTTGGAGGCGTAGAGGCTGGCGACAAAACTGAGGTGCGTAATTTCCACGCCCTTGGATAATGCCGTAGTGCCTGAGGTGTAGCAGATAGCAGCCAGTGTATTTGCCGGATCAGGAACGTCCACTTCAACAAAGTTGCTCTCATCAGAGGTTGAGAGTTCCAACACGTCAATAAATCCAGGCAGCTCGCCGTTTATAAAGAGACCCTGTGATGGAAGTAAGAATCATTAACATGAAGTCTTAGCCTAATGCTGACTCCAGTAAAGAGCTCATGCATGAAGTTCAAACAAAGTATGCTTCTCGATGGTGAAACATTTTACCATTAGGTTCACACTTGATTGTTTTTGTAAATTGATACATTTTTTGGCGTTCTTGAAATCAGTCAGAATGTGGGTAACATCACCGTCCTTGATATGCGAAAGAAGTTCGTCTAAAACAAAACATGCAATAAACTATTAATGCGAAGTATTGAGGAGACTCAATACTCATAGTCTGTGCAGGGCTAAAAAAGAATTAGATGTTTCGCCTCCTACACGAACTTTCTGCCTTTGATAACACTTCGGCGCACGCAACTGTCAGAACCCGAAAAAAAAGGCAACAGGCGCGTGCTGAAAAAAATGCTTCTACTGCATTCCTTAAAAAAAACCTTAAATAAAAAAAAATTAAAGATTTTATTTAGAACACATATTTGTTTTATACGAAAAATGTTTCCGCAATATTTACGCCATTAAGCACTGTTTATACTCACGACGTTGAGCGCAGTGAACGGAGCGTAGCGCAGAACGCGCGCCTTTCATTGGCCGGCAACCAGAAACTCAATATCTGCGACAAATCAGTATCTGTGCCCGCAGCGCTACGCCACACCCGTCGACGTTACGTTGGAGTATAAACGTACGTTTAGACGCGATTTCGGTGAAGATAGCCGGGCCTAAGAACAGATTTAACTACGCTCCATTTCTCGGGTCTCATTGACATGTGGATCGTTTGTTATAAAGTTGTTTATCCGTGCCGCAATAGTATTTTCATCGATACTATTTATATGTTTGAGAACCAAATAATATAGATAGAGTCAGTTTTGTTTCCAAAAATATCACGAGATGGCCCATCCGCTTCGGTTTCAAACAATAACAAACATGTCTACCGGCGTTTGCGGCGCGTTCAAGAAACGTAACTCGTTGAGCTCGTTTGTTTCTATGAGTGCGAGTTGTTCCGCGTTCACCGAAGTGTTCAGATGCAAGACTTCCTCGACCGACCTTGTTGGCCGCAAATTGAAGCGCTTTGCGTTCGCTTGTTTTCGTAGCGGGACTGGTCTAAGCCATTGCGACCCACGTCAGCTATGTTGCTTGATCTGGCTTGATTTTCGTTTGCGTGTGTTGACGCTGAATGAAGTAAAAGCGGCCCCACTGCTCTCCGACTTTAACGCAACCAACGTTATTGCACCCATGGTTTCAGTACCGAGAAGAAACATTCGCAGGTAAGAATTTGCGAGGCATTTCGCTGAGGCAATCGGGCGTTCGGCTATAGCCGAACGCCCATAGGTAGACGAACTTGGCACTATAGTGTCAAGTTCGTCTACCTATGTTCCCCTCATTTCACTTCGAAAGGCAAGTATTTCTCAAGATTTGCAGTGCACGTGACCTGTCAAGGAGGATATTTTTAGGTCGCGTCTGCGTCTTGACTGATGACACGTACCCACCTTGCTTGCGGATTCCATGTGGAAAATTTTAACAGACATAAAAGCTTAAAAGACTGCGTATTTACGTTGTTGATTTGTTTTTGTCCTCTCGGTTGCGTTCTACCGCACATCGACAAACGCTGACAGATACTTGTATTGAACCGCGGCTCGTACATGATGTAACGTCAGAACGCCGCGTTCATGGACCCCTTGCGAGCGTTGGATAAGTTTTCAGACGAGGGCGGAATAGGACACAGACAAAGGCAAAATCGAACGCCGACACGCAGCTTTTATGTCCGCGTCTGCATTGCAGATGATATATGGCGGTGGAATAGTAGACGATGCTGGACGCTGCCGCTCGTCTGCTCGCACGACTAGCAGGCAGTGTCAGATGCCAAACTAGACACACTGGATGTCGCGAGAGAGGGACACTAGGCTTATTGCGTGTTCAGCAGAACTAGCGGCGTAAATAATGCTCGCAATTTTTTTTTTGCGCGAAACAATAACAATCAAATACTTGTCCCACATATGCCATTTAATTTTTTTTTCTCCATTTTAGTATTCTTTTAACATGTCGCGGGTAACTGGCGACGTGTGCCCCCGAAAGCGCCGCTGTGGTCTGCCATCCCCAATTGGAAAAAAATCTTACTCTGATATCTTGAGTATGCTGATTTCTACTTTTATTACTCAGGGAAAATGTGAGACTGTCAAGTTCTACGGTATTGCAATATACAAACACTGAAATAAAAAAAGAAAAGTTTTTCAAGAACTTAAGTGAAGCACAGTATAATTTTTTAATGATTTTCCCGTTCTTTCTTTTTTTTTTGCGCAGTATTTACGCAATTAGACGCAATCTAGGTGGAGGTCACGGTCCGCAACGCCCACAGATCAGTGGCCCGCCCATTACTATTGGATTGGCTTGGATGCTCGGCCGAACACGTTCGCAATCCTAGTGTCTCCCTGTCGCGACGTCCGGTATGCGTCCGGTGCGTCTAGTCTGCCACCGCCTGCTAGTCGTGAGAGCAGACGCGCGGCTGCGCGCGGCAGCCTTCGGCATCATCTGCTATTCCACCACCGTCTGCCATCACCTGCAACGCCCTTAAAGGGATACTACAACAACATTTCAGAACTTAATTATGATCTATACTTGTTCAAGGGAGCAGTATCACATCGGACGCGCCAAAATCTCGTTAAAAAAGACAAGAAAACGAATTTTAAAACAAAGTAAACGATTAGCAAAGAGCATCTGGTGAATGTAGCTAAAGCCTCGTTTGTAATGACCGTCTAGGAACCTTGATAGGTAGTGACGATAACTGTCTCGCCTAGAACTATACAGGCTTTGAACCTGACGTCATCCCGACAGCCCTACGGCCAGCACAAGAGAAGAGGGGAGGGAGGAACTCCCCACTCAACGGGACTCTCTTTTGTGTGTCCCAGACGTCGCTATTTTCAGTCTGCACGATTATTGAAGATTAACCCGTTACTCAAAATTCACACAAAAGCAACTTTGCGGTTAGTTGCGGTGGCCCCATCGCTGGCGTGCTTCGACCGCTTTGGTGACTGGAACGGCTAAGGCATCCTGACGACGTGAGCCTCGCCGCACCTTTGCTCAACCCCGAGACAAACTACGTCACGATTGCGCCGGATGTGACGTACTCTCCGCTGGCTGCTCTCCGAGCGCTTGCCAGAATGGGCCGTTTATAACAAAAAAATACAGCCATCAGGCTCAAAATACACGGGTGCGATTTTCATTTACAGATATTCCGGATCATATTCAGCCTATTCCTGAACACGACGGGTATATTTCAAATTTCGTTGATGTATCCCTCTAAGACGCGGTCATGAAAGCGGCGCGTCGACGTCCGTTACCGCCTGCGTCCGTCCTGTATACCACCACCGCCTAAAAACGTCTGGAACACTCGCAAGCCGTGGCCATGAAAGCGGCGATCTAGTGAGCCACGGTCCAGTTCAAGCGTCCGTCAGCGTTTGTCGACGTACGGTAAAAAGCGACCGAGAGGACCAAAAGGATCAACGCTAAATACGCAGTAATTTAAAATTTTCTCTTCTTGCTTTTTTTTTTTTTTTCGAGTGGAGATTGCGAGCAGGGTGGGTGATCGTCAAAACCCACATATAAAACGCGACCTAGAAATATTAGCTTTGGCAGGCCAGGTGTACTGCAAAATTTGAGAGCTTCTTGCCTTTCGAATCAAGATGACGGAAACATACCTGAACAAACTTGATGCGAGCCGAACGCCCGATTGCCTCTACCAAAATGGCTCGCTAATTCTTACCTGTGTAGGTATCATCTGGGTTTTGAAACCATGGTTACAATGACGACGGTTGCGCCATTCACCAAGCAGCGGGGACGCGCTTCCGGGAACCAACATCTTTATTCAGCATCAACACGCGCAAACGAACACATCAAGTCAGATCAAGCAAAATAGTTGACGTGGGACGCTAGGCTTAGACAATCACCAGCACAGCGCTTCCGAAGGTTACAATTGTTTGCTGCAATCTAGGGCTGTTCATATCTTCCTCTAACATCACGGTGAATGAAGAAGGACTTCAACTCATAAAAATAAACAAGCTCAACGAGCTACTGCGTGCACGCCGCAAACGCCGTCAGCGATGGTCGCTTGCTATCATTTGAAACCGAAACGGTAAGAGCAATCTCGAGAAATTTTTGAAAACAACAATGACTCCAACTAGATTATTTGTTTCTCAAACATTAAAAAAAAAAATTGTTGATATAAGTACCATTACGGGACGGAGAAGTAATTCTGCAGAGAACATTTCACACGTCAGTCACATCTCCGACCAATGAATGCCGACAAACAATGCTTAGCTAGCTAAGCACCTTTCGTTCTGCGCTGGGCCAAAGGATCCTTAAATTAAGTCAAACGCCGTAAATCTTGCATGCTTTTTTTTAATGGGTTAACACAATTTTAAGATCATTAAAAAATGCTTGATTTTTAAGGGCGCGTATATTTTAAGTTTTCTCTGTGACTTTTACGCACACCACCGAAATTGTCGCAAGCAGTCGTGGCATCACAAAGAGGAACCACAAGAGCGAGCCACAAAAACATCTCTTCGTCAATAATCAAGATGAAAGCTCCATTTAGTCGCTATCTCAATATTCTTCCACACTCCAGAACAAACCTTCAATCTCATTCATGTTTCTTTTTTTTTTTTTGCCCATAAAGTTTGGTACAAAAAGTTCAAGAATAAAAAGCACGGAGATATCAAATTTAAGTAGAATATATGCGTGATCATGGCAGCTATGTTAGGTATATACGTGCGTCGGGTCGAGGCACATTTAGATTTTCTCTTTTGATTACAAGCGTTTAGAAATTGTTAATGTTGTTAACATACTTCGGTAACAGTCCTTAAAAAGGTTAAATATGTTTTTGAAGAAAATAAACAAAAATCACGGGACCACATGTAAAGCTAATTAAAGGGTGTGAATAGAAAAAAAATTAGCTGAATAGTTATTCGCATGCAATTTTCGAGTATCTTTAGGTGGAAATTTAGAAGGGCGTACCTTCATTGAGTCCGATGTAGGATAGGATGAGTGTTGCCCCAGCAAACACGAATCCGAACATTGCAATCAGGTTTTCAACGCTGGTGTCAAGATGGACGCAGACATGGTCTCCCGGCTTGATGCCGTGAGCTTGCAAACCTGCCGCGCAGCGCTTTATTCTCGCGAAGAACTGAGCTCGCGTTAACTGCACCGAGTCGTCGACCTAGCCAGAATGAAAGGCATGCGTCAAAAGATTAAAAACGATGATCCATGGGTCGGTAGAGTGCGGAGAGCTTTATAACTATTATCAACAAAGAGTTAAACTCTGCTACGCTAAGTGAAGTGTTATACTTGGATTAACTTTATTCATTCATCCATTCATTCAGTCATTAATTCATGCAGTCATTGATGCACTCAGTTCAAATAATATAATGATAAAAGCATAAAAGAAGGCAGTAAGCTACAAATCAATAATTATTTAAACACAAAGCATAGTCAGAACAACCTTAAAATCATGGAAAGCAGTGTACTAGTCTGCCGTTACATGTGCAAAACATGAGATAGCTTCTTTCAGGAAGTGATTCGGATTTCTAGGTTGCCTGTTTTGAACTTGATTTAGAGTCTAATTAAAAGTCTTTACTGATTTGTTACATATGTTACCGTTCCACAAACGAGTTATACTAGGCTCTACCTGCGATAATGCGTCGGCGCTACACTTTTTTTCTGCAAATAAATAAATAAATAAATAAACACTGAACGAAAATACATTTTTAAAGTGCCTTAGGTGGCACACGTATGAGAAAAAATAAGCTCCCTAAAAAAACAAGAGACGAAAAAGCTAGAACAACAACAAGAACAAATAACGGAATTTGTACGCCGGGAGACGGATTAGACAATTCAACAAATACGCAGCGCCTGCCGTCACCTTTTCGGCGCTCTGCGGCAATCCGATGTGTTGAGCGTAAAGGAGTGCCCATGAATAAATAAAGCGATTCATGTTTGTTTAGAATTTCGCAATTTCAGAACGCAAAAGAAAGCCGGACGATAAGAAAACAAGGCCAACTTTGTGTCCGTTCTGTTTTTTCTTGTCCTCTGAACTCGCATGAACGGACCAATTTGCCGCGAAAGCGCGGTGGTGCAATATGGGGCCGGCGAGAGACCTTGTGGGATTTTTCTGAGATGCCAGTTTAGGTCAGCACTAGGTTCCGCCCTTTAGTAAAAGGTCCTTACTTTTGTAAGCACCGCTTCCCAACTCTCATTAACTCGAGAGCTGACTAACCTGTAAAATGTTGGTTGTAAAACTTGCTCTGTGCTGTCAGTCTTTTGTTCGACATATTTGTATGTGTAATGATTGAAACGGTTGTTTCATAAAAATGTAATTGTAAAGCATACGATTCCTTGCTTCATTTTTCCGTGCGTTCTTCGTTCGCTCTTCGCTACACGCGTTTTCCGCGACCAGCAGGAAGGCGCAAGTGGATAGTAAAAAATAAGAAAAAAAATATTAGCCTACATTAAAAAAATATACTGACCAAAAAACTTCGCTTCTTTTTTAAATTAGAACTGGAGCGGCAGCACCTATCATATATTTCGTTAAAATTATTATTTATCGTGCGTTCACCACGGTAAATGGGAGTGAACTTACAAACTACCATGCAGCCGAAGAGCAGGCCGTTGCAGGAAATTCACGGCCGCCGTGTTTGCTATATTTTTTCTATCTTTTAATTTCACAAGTTGTGAGTTGAGCTCTAAAAATGACATGAAACGTTTTGCGAAACGACGTTTACGTGCCCAGTTTGAGGTTTAGAATTCGAATCTGGTAAGGCGTGCCAAATGTTCTGGTCCCTACGGCCGCACTAGGTGCACAATGTTTGAAACATCAGTAGATAAGTAACACCACAGAGCAGAGTATCTGACACTGGGAATGAAACAACTCCCAGTTTCAGATACTCGTTAGAAACTGTGCTGTATATTCACAGGTCGAATGAATGTAATGAACCCCCGTAGAAAAATAAAACAATCGGTGACTCAGTTGTCTGTATCGGCGTTCGTCATTGAAATATTGAAGGAAGTTGTTATCGTTTCGCAGAAATTCACATAAAAGGTTTGATTTCCGCAATTCGTTAATGCAACCACCTGATCCGAGTTAAAACACGTGCGTTGGCTGCGCTTCACTGCTACCTAAGCGACCGTCAGCAGCCATGAGTAACCGAAACATGTGCGCGACCAAAGCCGATGCACTCGGCTTTTCAGTTCAACACACTACAACGGAAAACGCTCACGGATTGAACATTACAGTACGCCGTCAGCATCCGGCTTGGGTTATGTTTCCTTCGTTGTATCGACACGTGTTCTCATATAGGCCTTGGTGACGCCATTGTGTGTTCATATTTAACGAGGGGAAACACGAGGAAGCGATTTCCCGGCGATACATTTTGCGGGAAAACTTGACATAACGGTTCTTCATAGCAGTTTTCTCGTGAAATTCGGCTGATAAAACACATTCTGCTTTAAAGGGACACTACAACGAAACTTCGGCGTTTATTTCTTGGTCTGCTCGTGTTCAATGGAGCAGTAGCACGTCAGACACACCAATATCTTGTTGAAAAAGATACGAAAAGAAAATTTCAAACGAATTAGGCGATTAGCAAAGAACATTTGGTGAATATCACTAACGCCTCGTTTTTAATGCCCGTCTAGGAGCCTTGACAGGAAGTGACGTTAACTATCTCGCCTCCGGCCACCACGAAAGACGAGGCGAAGGAAGAACTCCCCCTTCTCAAGACTCTTTTCTGTGTGTCAAAGACGCCCCTATTGTCCCTCTACAAGATTATAGTACATTTACCCGTCTCTCAAAATTTGTACAAAAGCAGCTTTAGGGTTAGTTGCGGCAGCCCAATCGCTGGCGTGCTTCGACCGCTTCGGTGGCTGGAATGGCTAGGACATGCTCTCGACGTCAACCCCGCTGCAGCTTTGCTCGTCCGGAGACAATGTACGTCACGATTGCGGCGGATGTCACGTGCTCTCCGCTGGCTTCTCTCCGAGCGCTTGCCAGAGTGGGCCGTTTATAACGAAAAATACAGCCATCAGGCTCAAAACAGTAATGTGTCGTTGTCATTTACAAATATTATGAATCGTATTCAGCCTATATCTAAACACGACGGGTATATTTCAAATTTCGCTGAAGTATCCCTTTAAAGCAAGGCTGATAAAGTGTAGCAATGCCACGGCGCGCCGAAGACTGCGCTAAACAGACAAGCTGGTAGGTTGACAAGATTATTCCCTCAGTTGAACTAATAAATAAATATATATATATATATATATATATATATATATATATATATATATATATATATGTATATATATATATATATATATATATATATATATATATATATATATATATTGGCGAATGTTTACAAATGCTTCCGTTGATATATAGGCAAAAACAAGGTGCGCAAACACAGCAGCCGTAGAATGATAAAAATAAAATTCTAATTTAATGGCGTGACTTTTTTCACCATTAGAATTTTATTTTTAACATCCTACGGCTCCTGTGTGGGCGCACGTCACTTTTGCCTACATATATATGGGTGTTTTCATCTCAAATCGGGCAGGCTAAAATGGTCTTATTTTTAATTTTCAGGAAAAAAATATATGTCTTGGGGGTATTTCTCAAATGAAGGAGGGCGCAAGCCGCATGTTCTCCCGATTTTTCGTTCTCGAGTTACGAGCCGTAGAAGCCGCAGTGGCAGAAACTAGTGTTTTTGCCTGCCGTCGCAGGTCGCGTGTTTGACACCCTCTGCTGACGCTATTGTTTTCTCTACGCCCTTTTAACTTTTCCCCCTCATTTAATAGGTATTATAAAGATACCTTGATGTATTCAAATATTTTTAGGAATTTTATTGTTTTCTAAAACACATGTCAAACTCGTCACTCCGGTCGCTTTTAGGTCAAATTTGGCAGGTCATTACTTTGTCTGTACTTAAGGTAAATTTTCTTTCTTTGGCTCTACAGAAAGCCCAAGGCAAGCCCATTATAGATATAATAATATCATTATGATTTGTCGACTAGCCGTTCCGCTTCTAACTTACTTCTAACAACGTAACTTCATGCACAACTCGTTACTCCAAATTATTTATATATTTCTAGCTGCCATCCCGAATTATACAAACAAAAGAAGAAAACATTGTCGCCTCCAGTGAACCGTGTAGGTACTGAAGACAAACAACTGCTTGCCATTTATCACCAAAGATGTATGCCTAAAATTAACCTTGTTTTCCGTGACGGTGCGTCTCACACTGCCATGCCAGTGCTTCTGAGTCACCCAGAGCAGGTAGATGGAACGACAATGCACTGCAACACTTATACCTCTGTCAGACGGGTCCGTTAAAAAAGGCGTTAAGAAATTCAGTACTTTAAATGAATCCTGAAATTCAAATTAAAACATACTCATCACGTTCAGCAATGAGATTTAGCATCATCAACAAAGTTTGCTAATGTCAATCGCACGATTCTATATCGAACGGATGACTATATTTATCGCTCCAAATGGCTAATTCCAGCCATCGGAAAGCGCCAGCACGCTTACACCGGCATTTTTTCAAAGATAATAAAGATATTATTATTATTATTATTATTATTATTATTATTATTATTATTATTATTATTATTATTATTATTATTATTATTATTATCTCAAAAGATCCGGAGCCTCCAGCCCGTTGGTGGCGTCATGTTTTCGCTCACCGGCAAGGCTACAGGGAGGCTGTCGTAGTTGCGAGCTTCTCCAATTGGTGGCGTCAACGCGTTACAACCTGAACGTTCGATATGCCCGCTATTTAGCTCCTAAAGTTTTTTTTACTCTTCAGACTGATCATATATTCCCCTCCACTCCCCTACTTTATAAAGTTTGCTCTGCTAAAGCAGAAAGGGTAGCGGGTTGTCTGGGTGGAGCTCATCCTGCACTTTTTGCAAGTGACTATTGTTTAAACAGCATTTGTTCTCTTTATGGTTTCATTTTGTTGACTGCGATCTACCAGGCACCCAGGCCAGCCCCCTCCCTCCCCCCCCCCTCCCCCCCCCCCCCCTTTCTACAAGGGTTTATGCGGCAGGTTCATAATAGGAATTCTAGGATCCGTTGCACCAAATAGGTGGTTGTCAGTTTATCGTAAAAAGGCGGCAGTTAATATTCGACATCAATTGTAACGAGTATACCTAAGTCTGACAGAGTATCTCGACACAAGTGACGTATCTTAAAGATACTCAAAAGTAGCTCGAAGGTACTACCGCGATACTGCCCAGTCCTGCTGAGAACACAGGTGGTAACTTATGAGAAGGGAACAAAAAGCTCGTGCCACGTGACGGTAAGTGTCCAAATCTTTGCGGTGATCAAGTGGAGAAGTATGTACAGTACGTATTAAGTTTTGTGCATACAAAAACATTTTTCATCACGCTCTTTTTACACACAGTTTTCCGGAGTCAGAAAAAACAAAACGACTTTCGTACTTGAACCATATATATTTACGTCAAGTGCTAATTAAATATATTCCGAACGTATATAGAAACCAGAAACAATTGCAAAATATCTGTTTCTTACCCTTGCTGGGTCTTCACACTCACCGGTTGCAAAAAAAAAAAAAAGAGGAAAATGAGATAATCCCTGATCATAACGAATTTATAGATATATTAAAATAATAACAAATAAATGCACAGTTGAGGCCCAATAATGCGACAATTTTTAATAAGCCAAAAGATGCGTTGGCGCTTACTTTTTTCATCATAAAAAGATAAATAAAAAGCAATATTTTCTGCCGTCACGTCACTCATTCTACCAAAAGTCTCCTGACATGTTCGTCTTGCAGGTAGCGTGAAATGCACCAGTGCACGATGCTCGTGCCTTGTCAGGGGCCTTGGAAACAAATGACGGCGCTGCGCTCGTTCGTGACACGTGTCTCGCGCGTTCGCACAGCGGTCGTCATTACTTGTAAGATACCCCATCTGTGCATTTTAACACGGGACTTTAATTTCAGGAAACACAACTTTAAACAGGCAATCAAGAAAAAAGAACCCTGAAGAGACATAAAAGAAGTCACGGGAGGCAATGATGACGTCACACCTACACAACCAGGATACACGTGTCCATGAGCACACACCAATCCCCACACCAAACTCGGCAACAAAGAGGTGTAGATTGCACCCCGATACGAACAAGAACAACAGGGTTCAGTCTACCATATATTCGTAGCGGAGTCTAATGTGGGAGTTGAAGCGTTACTCTTTTAGGGGCGGAGCTCCTTAGGGTCTAGCCTTGTCCGGCGTCCGTGCTCACATCGATTGCACTGCCTCCGGAATCGGCCCACTTATTAAAAAAAAAAAAAAAAAAAGGTACGCTTATACGGGCGTACGTTCCAACTCAGGACCGCTTGCTTTCGAGGCAGCCGTCTTAACCTCTACGCTAAACTCCAACGTTGCATGTAGCCGCTCAACGTCTATACAGGAGAGGGCGCTGCGGCCAAATGCGTATATCATCGCGCTAAACTTTGCATGCATTGGCTTAATGTTCATAGACGAGAGGGCGCTGCGGTCAAATGCTCACGATCCATACCACACATTCTCTTTCTGACATGGTCCGTTGACTTAAGCGGTGGAGATGCGTTCCCACGGCTCCTAGCGGAACCAAGCTGATGCGCTAGAAGAACCACTGGCTCTGCATTTCACGGACCATAAAGCAGTAACAATGAAGTCGAGACGCAACCCGGAAATCAGCATTACCTATGAGCAATAAAAAAATCAGCACCATCAGCTCTACCTATGAACAATAAAATCAGTATCATCAGCACCACCAGAGCTTCGCCCCAATCAACATCATTCACCACGTTGAGATGCGTCCATTTTTTTAATACGTCAATCTTGGTTGGGTACGTGTGACGTTATCGTTGTCTTCCATGTCTTCTTTTGGAGTGTTCGGTTTTTTTTCTTTTTTTGTGTTTTTCGTCTATTTAAGGTTGTGTTTCATGAAACTAACACCAGCTGTGTTTTAGAGATTCATGTTGCATTTTCCTCCTTTTCCCCATTCTCCAGGGTGAAAGATGTGAGTCCTTAACCAGCTGGCCTGCACCCTTGCATTCACTTTATTCTACCCAGTACTATTTGACTAATACCAGAACACTGTGAAAAGTTTTCAGTTCATCGTATTATTCATGGTAAGGTCGAAAAAAGAGTACTCACAATGGCAATTCTATCCGGCGAAGCTTCAATGCATCTCTGAATGGCAGTGTATATAGAAGAGCAGGGGATAGAGCACACCGGGTAGGGTGAATAAATGACACCGTCTTTAATCGGCGCCCTCATCGGCTTCATCTTTCCTTCGACTGCTGGGAAGCAAAACTTTCTGAAATAAAGTCCATGTTCGTTTTTTGTTTGTTTTTTATTCCTACGATGGTTAAACCTGGCGACAGTGGCTGGTGGTATCAGCGTTGTTCTTACACGTTTAATGGTGACAGCAATACCGATAAAAACATTCACACACTCGCCATCAACTATTATGCCAAGCCGATCAGTATAGGTTGCGACAATCGACCAAGGGTGGCGAAGACGAACGCGAGTACAGAATACTGATGCTCCTTGATGCTAGCCGGCTTTACAGGTGCACGATAACACTTGTCAAAATGCAGAAAATCTGCATGGTCAACTTACAACCGGCATCCGTGGTTCCCTTTTGGGCGCTTATGCAATCCGCCTTATTTTACCGTGATAGTTATTACGGGTTATTCTCCCTCACTCGAAATGCTGTTGATGATGCAGTTGTAGTTTTAGTGCGCCCGTCGTCGGTATCGACAAATGATTAAAAAAAAAGATGCGGTTTTCTTGTGATGCAATCCTTGGTCCACTGTTCGTGAAGCGACTGCGTTACCACAAAGCCACGCGAACTGCTTTAACGCGTACCTAATAAACCGCATCTGTTGAGGAAATATGCGCATGAATATCGCGCAATGACCGCCAGAATGGTCGCAGTGTAACTTCGCATCACGCCGCCCGAGTCTCATGCCGCGTCCATTAGTGCAAGGCGCATAAGTGCAAGATACATAAGAGTATATTCATATTAAAAATAGCCCAAAAAAGACGGGACAAAAAGACGAAGAAGCACACAGGACAAGCGCTAACTGGCAACTAAAGTTTATTGAATGCTTCCAACTTTGCTATCGCCGTGCACGCGCTTAGTCTCGTCTCAACAAAAACACGGAGTACCGCCAAATCAGCAGATACAGCCCGCCCACCGCCTGTTCCAAGAAGTCAGCAAAACAGCTAAGTCACCCCGCCGCACGATCCGAACGAGGAAAGGAATAGAAAAAACGACGCGTTAATATTAACAAGTTAGTGTTAATAAAAATTTACTCTTCCGGCTGCATATACACCGATGCGACGCTTATGCAAACGTCTTTGTCACAAGCATGTGTTTTTGCCGCCTCCAGCAACTCTCGTTCTATCCTTCCTTTGTTGCGGAGTCCCTCCACCTGCGCACCATCCAGCGTGGGGGAACAACCACAAGTTTTACAATGCCCCGGCAAGTGGGAACCGTAATTGTTGCCAAGAGAAGCCGCATGCTCTCGAAGTCTATCATTTAAGCTCCGGTGGTCTTTTTGGGTGTTGCTTCAGTCCCACCTGCCGTGGAGCGAGTGCCGGAAAGAGGACCAAAGTTTAGTCTTGAAACGTCTGCGGACAAACTCGAACTCTTGGCAGCTGTCCACAGGATTGCAGACAAGGCTCCCCACAGAGGAAAAGGAGCGGTGGGTTTCGGAAGGGGTGGAGTCGTTGCAGAGGAGCTACGAAGGTAGCAAAGACAATCGGTCGGTTCTCCGGAGGGTTTTCCGTCACTTCCACGACTCGGACCTTTCGCTCCTGCTGGCTGACAAAGAAGGAAGCTTCACGGTACTCCGAAGCAAATTATTTGGTGAGGAAGGTATGCTGGGCCATCAACGAGAACTTCAAACTAGCAGACACACGACCGGCTAGGGCAAATACTAGGGCGGTTAAGATGCTAGAGGAGTTGAACCACGAGGCTTTGGCGAAGTGTGCAAGAAATTGCAAACTGGATGTCCTGAAGATGTTCTTTGCGGCGAAGACGCACAAAGTTGAGTGCCCCTTCAGAGCCATCGTCACAGAGAGAGACAGCTGGCAGGCCCAGGTCAGCAGGTTTCTGCAGCTGCTCCTGAGTAACGTCTTTCCAGAAGACCCTTACAAGGTGAGCACTACGGACCATCTCATCGACGTACTACGGGAGGGCCTATCTGGAGTCAACAACGCTTTCTCCTTGAACGTTGAGATTGTTTTATTCGGTTCCACACGACGAACTTCTAGTTGCTGTTCGGGAACTGATTGAGACATCGGGCGTTCTTGCATTTCAAAATGCGTGTGGGGTTACGGCTGATGCCTTCCTAGAAGTGTTGGACTGCTACATAAACTTAACGCTTGTTTGCTTTGAGGACAAGGCGTATGTGCAGAGGCGTGTCATTTGTATCGGGTCTAGAGTGGCGCCTGTACTATGTGAGATTTTTCCTGCCAAGTTTGACCACTCGGTTTTGCATGAGTTGGTTGACATCCCCGTTGTGAAGGTTTGTAGGTACGTCGACAATTTTATTATTTTTGTTAGTGTTCCTGCAGAGCAAAGCCTCGTCTCTTTAGTCGAGACTACTCTGGAGGTTTTTAGCAGATCTTCTAAGCATTTACATTTCACATACGAACTTCCGTTGGAAGGATATTTTCAGTTTTTAGATGTCCGGTTGTCTTTAAACTCCCTTGACCATGTGTGCTAGATGTACAGGCCACGCACAAAAAAGGCCCTTTTGGCTTTTGACTCTAAATTGATAAAGAGAAGCATCGCCTCGCTGTGCCTCCGGTCGGCACTGTTGAAGTCCTGTCCGCATGTAATTAGTGACAGTTTTGACCTCCAGACACTTCGCTTGGAACACTCCGGGTTTCCCTCGGTCTTAACACAGGGAGTTGCGGAATCCCTTCTAAAAAAGCTGAAAAGCTCTTCCGTTGTACCTAAGAGGAAACCAAAGAATTTTGTAGTGCTACCTTACATTCATAGGGTGTCGCACAATCTGAAAAGGATTGCGTCTAAGTTCGACGTGGACGTTGTTTTCACTGCCCCGTGCAGATTGTCAAAATTGTGCGCTATGGTGAGCGGGCCGAAAGTGAAGAAACCTGTTTGCAGCAAGAAACACGTCACAAAGTTCGTGCCTTGTGCCACTGGGGTGGTTTACAGGATTCCTTTAACGTGCGGTCGTGTTTACATAGGGCGGACGGGACGTTGCTTAAATGATAGACTTCGAGAGCATGCGGCTTCTCTTGGCAACAATTACGGTTCCCACTTGCCGGGGCATTGTAAAACTTGTGGTTGTTCCCCCACGCTGGATGGTGCGCAGGTGGAGGGACGCAACAAAGGAAGGATAAAACGAGAGTTGCTGGAGGCGGCAAAAATACATGCTTGTGTCAAAGACGTTTACATAAGCGTCGCATCGGTGTATATGCAGCCGTAAGAGTACAGTTTCATTAACACTATCTAACTTGTTAATATTAACGCGGCGTTCTTTTGTATTCCTTTCCTCGTTCGGATTGTGCGGCGGGGTGACGTAGCTGTTTTGCTGACTTTTTGGAACAGGCGGTGGGCGGGCTGTATCTGCTGATTTGGCGGTACGCCGTATTTTTGTTGAGACGAGACTAAGCGCGTGCACGTCGATAGCAAAGTTGGAAGCATTCAATAAACTTTAGCTGCCAGTTAGCGCTTGTCCTGTGTGCTTCTTCGTCTTTTCGTCCCGTCTTTTTTGCGCTATTTTTAATATGAATGTCCATTACCAACTTGCCCAGAAGACCAAGCTTTTACATAAGAGTACATTAGGGTCCGATAAGGTGTGAAAGGTATCGCTGTGTCTGCATTTGGAATTCACACAGGATTGCACAACTTTGATCTACAAATACCGTTAATGCCAATCATTGTATTTAAAAAAAAATGAATGAGAAAACAAAGGTTTGTAGTTATTCGTAAATTGCCAATAAAGTAGAAACGGCTACATTCATATGGCCCTACAACTGTCACTTAAACTTTCGAATAGGCGCAAGGTAAAGGCCTAAATCAGACGTTCAACGGTTTATCAGCCACCTAGGTCGGCAAATTGAAATATTTCAGAGAGACGAGATTAACACTAATTTAATCAAGATAATGAGGTTGTGGTTCATAGATATTCGGTTAGGCATTGTAGGTGTGGCAGTCCCTGTTAATCTAGCTACGTTCAATGTTGATGCATGGTGATAGGGGGTTTCCAGAAATCTTCGGAATGTATTCGCAGACTGCAAGTAGGAGTTTGCTCTGATCATGCGCTGAGCGACGAATTCAACGATGATGGTCAGTAAATACTACCTAGATTTTATGCGCACATTCTCACCTAATCCTACGTATTTCTACCAAACGGTCATGAACAGGCTTACCTGAATAGCTCCAGAGCGGATCTGATTTCCTACCAATGCACCCAACTTCCAGGATGTGAAGTAGCCGTGGTTGCGTTTTTTTCGTAAAATATAGAAGTTTTGAAAAAATATGAAAAATGTCGGAATTGCTCATAGCAGTAAATTATTATAGTTTCCTGTGGCACTGACCTACAGCGGATGTCTTCACAACAGCGCGTGGAAAAGCTGTTTAACGAAACGTGTGCTCGCAAGTTCCGCAAGCGCTTCCCAGAACAATAGACCCTTTCCGAAATTTTGTCTGTCAACTTCGATAGCTATCATCACCGAAGTGTGTATCCTCTGTGCCAGAGCCACTAACTGAGTTCCGCTTAAGCTGAATGAACCACTAAATTAGCTAAATGAACAACTGAATTAGCTAAATGGACCACTAAATGAGCTACGCTTAAGATGAAACACTAAATTAGCTTAATAAGTGTAGCTTATTTAGTGGCACTAATCCGCACATTCGAATGTGATGGATGGCTGGTGAAGGAAGAATTTGATGACAGAAACCGAAGCAGAGCCATGAGCATCCAGACGTTAGTTCGCTGTAGTGTATGAAGCACCGTGCATTCACGAGGGCGCCCATCAAACCATTCTGCCAATCTTGGCCGCCAGGCAGCTATGGAACCGCCAGGCAGCTGTGTAGCTGCCTCGCCTCAGACACGATCACATGGTCGTGTCGCCGCGGGGTCGATCGGGATCTCGAATTCGGCTTCCCGACGTGCCGCTTTCTCTCCTAGCCACTGGATGGCGCTGCAGGTGCCCCGTGTCAGGCGAGGAGAAACCTCCTCGCCCATCGATCGATATATACTCGGTGGGGCAGGGGGTGAGAGGCCTCTTAGAACTTCGGA